TATTCACCCGGCTCTTTCATAACCTATTCTTCAAAAAAAATATAACCTTTAAAATAAAAACAATATCAAAACTTTTGCAAGCCCAAGTATATTCACAAACTCAATTACATTTACCTACATTCCTTTACAATAAAATACCAAAAAAAAAAAACAAGTCAAATGAAGCAAAATACTTACTTTTTATTGCCAAAAATTTTGATTCGATGTACCGGCGTCCGTTGGTTTCGACAATATCAAATGATTGTGGGTGACGGGAAATCAGTGTTGCCACTTTTCATAAGCTACCAAAATAATGTAAGTGACTACAAAACCTAGCTCTCCTTCATGCCACTTTTCCCCTACTAAGTTGAACAGTGGACTTTTGTCTTTAACCTTTTGAGCGCCACGCCAAAAACTCACTACCGTGTCCTGTACGCCAAAGCGAAAAGTAAACAAAAATACCTACGAAAAAAACAGTGCTGCCAAGAGTTGATACATCGATAACACAAAATAACTTGTTTTTGTTGGTTTTTTATACAATAAATGACTCTTTATAATCGGGTATGTTTTATTTAATCTTGTGCTGTCTTCCACTCTTTTTATATATGTACTTTGTACATAAATAAAAAAAGAAACAATAACAATAAAATAGTAGTAAACCACAACACTACTCTCCATCGTGATGACGTCACTGTCACGACTGGACGACAACTGCGTAGCCGACCTTTCTTTTTGAAACTTTCTTAGAGATGTAGCCGTGTCGCACGTTGTGTATCGATTTCAAAATCGATCTAACCAAAATATACAGACATCGATTCTAAATATTTTATGGCGAGGCGTAGGCCAAGTGAATCACAGAAGAAAAGTCTTACGCTCTTATGACAATGGGGGTTTCATATGATGCTGATGTTGCTAAATGATTTTGGATTGAGAAAGAAAATCGCACAACACAAAATGAAAAATTGCTCTTCATACCTTAAGTAAAGAAAACACATTTATTATTTGTAATTATATATTATATATATATATATACATAATTACTCACTAATCAACAATTGTATATAGGTAATTATTCGCACTAGAAAAATCAGTCTTATAATATTAAAATATTGGTCATGGAATAAAAAATCAGTAATTATTATAAAAATCAACAAATGGTACATAATTATCGACCAATCAACAAATGTATATAATTATTTGCACTAGAAAAATCAGTCTTATAATATTAAAATCTTGGTCAAGGAATAAAAAATCAGTACTTATTACAGAAATCAACAAATGGTACATAATTATTCATTAATCAACAATTTTAAATAATTATTTACCCTAGGTCTAGTCTTAAAATATTAAAATCTTGGTCTTTAACTCAATCAGTACTTAATATAAAAAACAACAATTAAAAATAATTAATAAATTATAGGTAATATTAGTCTTAAAATAATAAAAATCTTATGGAATAATAAAACAAATGTTTAGCTGTCCAAAGCAAATTTTCTAACGTGGTAGAGCCATGCTGCAGTTATATTACGAGAGAGTAGTTGTAGCACGAATGGGTCGGCTCAACCGGGGAAGAACCACGCTCTCACGGAATACCGGCGTCAAATAGTAGCTTAATGCTGCTGTATTTCGTATGGCAAGTGTAGAGAACCGGAGACCCTCTTTACTGGAAACTAGGCATTCCATCTAAGTCCTCACGGATGAGAGCGCATCTGCATTTTGATTCGTAATCGAGGATAGATGTAAATGTATGGGCCACAGCAACCACTTACCATCAGGTGGACTGCGCGCTCGTTTATTACCCTATGCTATAAAAAAGAAATTAACCGTAAAAAACTATAAAGTGTATTCCTACCTCATTGAGGTAGAGTTAATCGAAAATGAAAAACTTTGGTTTCATGATAATTTTAATGTGCCTATTATTAAAATAATAGAAAACAACTCATAAAATCGCTAAGCAGGTACGGATTGTATAATACATATTTTTCCTTTATTGAAACTGTCACTAAAAACATATAAGTACTAAATTATGTGCATATATTTATTTCTACTTGGATATTTTCAATTTTTTATTTATTTAGGTAGGTAACTTCTGTACGGCTATACTGTAAGACGCGAAAGTGTTAGTAACAAAAAAAGAACGTCGCCGCCGAGAACAAAAGAGCAATTTAGTACTAAGTCGACACGCTATTTTAGATCTTAATGTTTTACCATTACATTGATTTTTAGTCTACTCACAATACTACTCGAAACGATTGTAATTCCGAAAGGTAGAAAGTCGATATACTATTTTGGACCTTAATGCTTTTTCATTACGTTGATTTATGATTTATGGTCTACTCACGGTACTTACTTTTTATGAAGGATTATGGTGAAATATGGCTTAAGATATTTATTTCGCTAAACAATATTACCATTCGCTTTTTGACAGAAAAAATATCTACTAGTTGCAGTATAAAAGTAAACGAACAAGATGAGTTATTCTAAACTCGAAAACAAAAACATAAAAAATGTGCTCACAAGAGTCGCCCGGGAAACAGTTCCATTATGTATCGAACTTATTATATTTAAAATTAAACAAAATATTATAAAATAATAGATACATAAAATAGGCAACATGCATGTAGTAAAATAAGTTTAATTTATTAGGAACTTAAGACACTTACCTCACTTAAATCTTCAGGTAATGATTCAGATTCCGAAAATTCATCATCGTCGACGCTTTCCAAAATCCGAATGAGTTCTGAGGCTGAGGAATCGTTCATATTGCACTGCACTAATTTTTCCGCTAATCGCTTATGACGTCATCAGCGTGTCGTCTATACTAGACTACGGCGCCCAGGGAACTGATTTTCGATGTCTCGCTAAGGATGCGCCAGAGTTGAGATATTAGATTTATTATGCGAAGATAATTTGATAATTTTTTTAATTCATGTAGCTAATTATAGTTTTATATTTTTAACCTTTTGTTTTATTTAAATATCAATAATAATAGAAAAAAAAATAACACGTTTGAGCTTAATTTTGAATAGTTTTCAATAAATTTATGCCTAACGCATTACAACACTAGCGGTCTAACATAGACGACTTTGGCGTGCTGGACATAGTATTTGCTTAGATAAAAATCCATTTTTTTTAGTTTATTATTCGTTTTTGAGGGGTGTAGAATTAAAATACCAGTAATAATTTTCCAATGTCTATATTTCATATTTTTGTGGGCCGGGTTTTTTGTCAACTATAGACGTTGGCGCTCAGGGCACGCAGGTGCTGGTCACGTATAGACGACTTTGGCGCTCAAAAGGTTAATGATGGCGATGATGATGAATGAAATGCTAGTATGCAATTTCTACATGCGCAGTGTCCAGTTCCCCTACCAGATGAAGTAAAGACCTGATGACATGTAGGCAGTCAGTGGATACAGGTGGCTCAGGTCCATACTTTGTGGCAATCTTTGGGGGTAGGCCAAGTCCAGCAGTGTCCTTGTGATGAGCTGTAGTTATTAGTGACATGATGACAATGATGAAAACAGCCTGATGTGGAATTTCAATAAAATAGTATATCCTCTCATCAGTAAGTCGAAACTATTTATATTTTGTGAATATTAGAAACAAAAAATAAAGAAATATTGATGTGTAATAATAAAACAGTACTAAGACCAATACAACGCTTTAAGTTTGTATAATTTCATTCTATGACTATTTTCAAAAAAAAAAAAACTCATTCAAAGGAGTTATATGAACGTATTGGCGATTTTAATGATAATAACTCTGTAAACACATATTAGTTGGTGGAGCGACGAGCCCAAGGTTACCGAAGTCTAATTCCCCGGTCGAACCTTAAAACCTATTACGCGAGATATTAACCAAAAGTGGACTGTATATGCGAAATGCTTCTTCGTTTACCCAAAATGGCGACTATAGCACGCGGTTTTCCATACAATGCACTCGCTCTTCCCTAAAACGAACTATTATTTGCCAAATCTATGAAAGGAATCCTGCTTGATTAGGAGAAAATAAATTGGAGCGGACACAATTATATCAAGCAGTAACTAGTAAGGAATATTCACTCACCGGGGTGTTGCTTCTATGCGGCTTGGGCAATAAGTTGCTGCAACTTCTGGAAGACACTGGGTAGACTCTGGGGCCCCAGCCTTTCTTGTCCGGTGATACGTCGGGAGAAAGTGCGGTGCGCGACTATTTCTCACACGAGGTGAGGCGGGTTTCCTGGAGTTCGACTGCGTCCAGGCTAAAGCGGATATACTAGCGGTGCGCGTGGACACTATTGTCTTAAGCGGTGTGGTTCCAACGACGAGCGCGGCGGGAAGAGAGTGCGCGTCGGCCGCGCGTGCTTTTTTATTCCTTCGGTTGCGATGATCGCGTAATATTCTAGAATCATCTTCTTTCCCCTCCCACCCCACCACCCCGATGTGTCCATAGGAGGGTATGAATGATATCGTTTGGAAAGGGATAAACGATTTGGCAAGTCTACCGTCAAATATAAATAAATACGAATGGTTTTCCGCGCAACCATCATCATCATCATCCCATTCGTTGTGGACCGTGCTACTGAACAGACGTGCCTTAGTCGCGCTCACGTGTTGTATTAAGTGTACGTTCTGGGAAGACTACGTGTTGCCAGTCGGCGATTCCGCTAAACGTTGAGCTTGCTCCGTGTAGCGCTGAACCGTCACTGGCATTCTCCGCAGCGAACTACAAGTGACCTCACAAGAATCGGCATCAGCACTGGACATCCTTCTTGATCAAGAAGGACACTCCAGTGTATACACGCCCATCCCACCAGAGACTCGCACACCCCTCCCTGCTCGCGGGCGCCTCGCTGGGCCTCCCCCCAGGGTCTCACCCGGTGTGGTAGCACGCGCTGAGGGGAGTAAGGTGTGCGACTGCTCAAGGGCAGTGCACTAATTAATTAATTAATCAAGAAAATGACGGACAAGGGGGAACCCCCCCCCACCCCCCCCCGAAGACCACCAGACAGGCGACCAGGGGGTTCTGGACAGACCCCTCATGGAAAGAAATCTATTCGATCCTGAGAAGTCACGAGTCATCCCCCCGGTCAGCCAAATCCCGAGACGAATCGGAAGCCCACCACTTAGTCCCACACCCATTACCAGCCGGGCTATTAGGACACTAAGCCAGGAATTGGCAACCACATCCCGCCTCGCAGTCAAACGAGCACCACCACAAACAGAATCCGACGAACTCCAAGACGAAAAGAGGCCCAAACCAGGGTCACGCACACCGTCATCAGGTGAAGAATCAGACTCATCTACTCCACCACCTATTCCGGAGAGGGAATTGGATGCTCCTATAACAAGACACATCAACCCACCAAAGTCACCGTCACCAACAAAGACCCTACCAGACATCCCAACTGAGACCCAAGAAATGGATGCAGAACCCGTGCCGGGACCATCGACAGCCCCAAACCATACCAACCATACCAACCACCGTAGAAGAAGCCCTCACGGAGGTAGTGGGAGTGGTCATCAAGATTTTGGGTGACGTATTAAACGCCATGACCACGGGGTCCAACCCCCTAACGGCGATATTAGGCGCCCTAGCCCAACTGTCAGCCATTAATAGAGGGCCGGCAACTTAAACTTTTATATTGGAACCCCGGAGGTATCGCCGGAAAAACCTCCGAACTCCGATTGCTGGTCCAGCAGTACAATATCCAGATTGTACTGCTGGGAGAAACAAAGCTGCGCCCCTCCGCTCAACTGAAGATTCCTAACTTCTTCGTGTATCGACATGACGAAGTATCCCCTGAAGGTGTCGCGTACAGAGGTACTGCGGCACTAGTCAGAAGAGACATCATACACGAAGAAGTGGAAACAGACAATAACTTCGCCACTACAAGGACAAAAGGGATTGGGATGAAGGTGGGCACTAGAGAAGTCAGAATTTATGCCGCCTATAGACCACCCGGTGCCCAACTCTACCCCCAGGACATAAGAAAAATATTTGACGCAACTACACCTGCTATTATCGCTGGAGACCTCAATGCAAAGCATCCTGCTTGGGGCTCCACGATAATCACCTCCCTCCCGGGAAGAAACTGATTGAAGATGCAGAAGACTGGGGGTACGAGGTCCTGGGCCCAGACGAGCCCACCCACATCCCTACCAACCCAGAACACCAGCCCGATGTCCTTGACATAGTGCTGTGCCATAAAATGCCGTACCCAATACGGCTAGAGGTGCTGTATGATCTGGACACACAGCACCTCCCCGTGTTGTTCACCATCGATACAAGTGCGGACGCGGTAGTGCCCAGAGAGTTGAAAATGAGAACTAATTGGACCCGCTTCCGTAGAGCGCTGGAGGACCTCCGACTCGGCGCCAACATACTAACCAAAGAAGATGTAGAAGCAACGGCTCTACAACTAAATAATACAATTGAAGACCAACTGAAACTCCACTCACACCCTGTCTCTGCAGGGCGCCGAAGAGAGGAACTCCCACAATACTTACAAGCACGACTCTCCGAGAAGCGGAGACTACGGAAGCTCTGGGCACGGACGCGATGCCCACTTATCAAAAGAAAGCTAAATACCCTGACGGAAGAGCTGTCGGAAGCAATAAGAAAACATAGGGGGAGAAGCATGGGATAAACGAATTGATGAAGCGTCAGAAACACCCGCCTCCCTACATCTCCTCAACCGACAGCTCACGAAGACTCCCACACCGGCATGCCCACTAGTGGACAACATGGGAAAACGCTACTACAACGCCCAAAAAAGGGTGGAAATGATGGCACAGCACCTGGAAATACAATTCAAAACCAACCCCATAGCGGAGGGGTACACAGAACATGCAACAAGCATACAAGACCGCGTACATGAATACCTGTCGAACCCGGCGCCACCACTAAAGGGCAGTGACTTTATATCGCCAACAGAGGTAGCGCGCACTATCATGCGCCTCCCCGCCCGTAAAGCGCCGGGATTCGACGGAGTCACCACCATGGCTATTAAGCAGCTGCCAAGAAGGGGGATAGTGGAACTCACCAGGCTGTTCAACGGCATTTTAAGAACTGGCCACTTCCCCAACACTTGGAAGAAGGGAAAAATCATCGTGCTACCAAAGCCGGGGGAAAGACAGGAGGCACCCGGCTAGCTACCGCCCCATAACGCTATTGCCGCATATAGCGAAACTATTCGAAAAGATCCTACTAAAGAAAATCACGCCGCACATCGCTCTACGGGATGAACAATTCGGCTTCCGTAGAGCACATTCAACAACTGCTCAACTGGCCCGCGTGCTGCACTATCTTGCGGCCGAACATAACCGCGGCCGCATCTGTATGGGGGTCCTCCTAGATATGGAGAAGGCCTTCGACAGAGTGTGGCACGCAGGGCTAATCTTCAAACTAATCGAACACACCACCATACCGCCGATGCTTGTGCGGCTAATAGCGTCGTACTTGGAGGGGCGGAGCTTTCAAGTCAGCCTAGAAGGGGCTGTTTCGGTAGCACGACCGATAGAAGCGGGAGTGCCACAAGGCAGCTGCTTATCACCTCATTTGTACGCGGTCTACACTAACGATATCCCCACACTCCAAGACCAGCTGGAGGAGTGGGAAGAGGACGTCGTCCTTGCACTATATGCAGACGACAGTGCGTACTTCACATCATCTCGTCGGGTGGAAAACGCTGCAAAGAAGTTGCAGCGACTGCTGGACCTGCTACCAGATTGGCTGGACAAATGGAGGATGGCGGTCAACGTCGGGAAGACTACCGCCTTTATGACCAGGCTGAGAAGGACACCACCAACACTGCAACTCCGTGGGCAGGACATAGGTTGGAGGACGACTATCACCTACCTCGGATGCCAGATCGATCGCTCGCTGCGAATGAACCCGCAGGTCGACCACGTCGTGAGACAGGCCAGAGCCGCGCGAGCGAAGCTGAACCCCATACTGGCATCCAAACTCCCAAGGAACACCAAAATAGGCATCTACAAGACCTACGTCCGCTCACGGCTGACATACGCAGCACCAGCCTGGTACGCGTTGACCTCAGCCACTCAGCGCAAGAAGATGCAGGCCCAGCAGAACCTTGCACTACGAGTGATCGTGGGAGCTGGCCGTTACGTAAGAAACGACGTCATAGCGCGTGATCTCAAAATGGAATCCATCCACGAATTTGTGGTCCGTACTGCGAGACGGTTGTACGACCGCGCAGACAACGGACCACATCAACATCTTCGCAACATAGCTCCGCTACACGCGCGCCCACCAGACGGGCGACCACTCCCACGTGAACTTCTGCGCTCACCGCCCGGCGAGGGGGACGCCGGGGACGAGTGAGAGTCCCGACACCAGAACAGATGGCGTGAAGTACGCAAAACATCAACACATAAACTGCGCCAAAGCGCAGTACCCAAGACCGTGAGAGCCGTGCCTCCCACGCGAAGAAGTCCGGGTAATGAGGGCTACCTCGATACCCGCAGGCCTTCAAAACCTAAGAAAGGTTAAGAAGAAGAACATCTCTCTCCGCGCAACCAGTTCGCCGCGGACCGTGTTACCGAACGGACGTGCCTTAATCGCGTTCCCGTGCTGTGTTAAGTGTACGTACTGTGAAGTTTACGTGTTGCCAGTTGACGATTCCGCTAAACGTTGAGCTCGCTCCGTGAAGCGTTGAGCCGTCACTGGCATTCTCCGCGTCGAATTACAAGGTAAGAGAGCACAAAGATCTCAACCTTTGTCGCCCTTATTTTTGTGCAATCTTTGCTATAAATTTTTATTCTTTTTAAAAGTGTTTTTAGCAAGCCTCTGTTAACGCCCAATCCATCTGCGCCTACACACCCCTCCCCGCTCGCAGGTGCCTCGCTGGGCCTCCCCCACGGGTCTCACCTGGTGTGGTTGCACGCGCCGAGGGGAGTAAGGTGTGTGATAGCTAGCAAGGGCAAAGTTTTTATCTCCTACCCACTTTTTAAAAAAAGTTTTAAATTTTTAAACCGAAACATCGCCTCGAGAAAACGCACCCCCCCCAAAAATGGAAGAGGAAGACCTGCAGGAAGAGAAAAGGCTGAAGGCCAATTCGGACACGATACCAGAGTCTACATCAGCCTCAACTCCCACACACACCTCGGAAAGCTTACCTACTCCACCACAAAAACAGCCGGTGACGAGACACAACTCGCCCCCGAAATCACCATCTCCCACTACTTCCCCGACCTGCATGCAATATGAGATGCAAGATCTCGGGGAACAGGACCCAAAAGAGAAGGAAATCACATCTAACCCCACTCCCGGACCATCCTCGGCGCCAGACAGCTATGCACGGATAGCTGCCGCGCCTAGGACAACCCCACCTTCACCTCCACCTGCTGCAAGGCCACAGCAGCCTGCAGCAGTACAAACAAAATACCCCCCTATAATAGTAGAATGCTTCCCAAACTGGGCGAGGCATTTCAAAATACACCAACTTCTCGGCCATGCTCCAAATGCCCGCCCATTTGGGAAAGGAGTCAGATTCCGGCCACAATCAGACATCGAATACAGAACCACCCAAAAATACTTGATCGAGCGTAGCAAAGAGGACGCCACATTTGCGTGGTACTGCTACGCTCCTCAAGAAGAGCAGCCAACGAAGGTGGGGCTCAGAGGGCTCCCAGCAGACACCGAGCCACAGGACATAATGGAGGCCCTCATAGAGAAAGGTTTCCCGGCGACGTTCGTGCGCTCAATCCCCCCAAAAGAGGCAGACCAGGCTGCCTCTTTCACATATAAATGAGACACCTCCCCCCGGACGAGCTAAAACGACAATATGCAGTAGCCGAGCTGCTATACATGCCCGGCATCTCAATAGAGGGCTGGCAAGGTAAAGCCGGCCCTCCCCAATGCCATAGATGCCAGGGATTCGGGCATGCGTCTTACAACTGTTATAGACACATTAAATGCGTCCGCTGCGCAGGCGATCATGCCGCATCAGAATGCCCCAAGCCGCGTGACGAACAGCCGAAATGCGCAAATTGCGCCAAGGCTCTAACAAGGCAAGTACTAACCGCCATGACCACAGGTACCAACCCACTAGCAGCAACCCTTACTGCCCTAGCCCAACTGTCTAACATCAACAGAGGGCAGGGCAATTAGAATAGTCTACTGGAACCCCGGCGGCATAACAGGGAAGGTCGCCGAACTGCGCACGTTGGTCCAGCGGTACAAAGTCCAGGTTGTACTGCTGGGAGAAACTAAACTGCTCCCCTCTGCAAAACTAAAGCTCCCCAACTTCTTCGTGTATCGCCACTCCCCGAGGGTATCGCGTATAGAGGTACAGCGGCCCTTGTGAGGAGGGACGTCATGCACGAGGAAGTTGACACCATATATGACTTCGTGTCCATGAGGACCAAGGGTATAAGGATGAGGGTGGGAACCACGGATATGAGGTTCTTCGCCGCTTACCGACCTCCCGGTACCTCATTAGCCCCCCAGGATTTAAGTACGATATTTAATGCAACTACACCTGCAATTATTGCCGGAGACCTCAATGCAAAACA